AGGCTGGGCTCTATGAGAAGTGTGGTGTCAGGATTGGTAGAAGATCTATTAACAATCTGCGTTATGCAGATGGCACAACCCTGCTTGCTGAAACTGAGGAGGACCTCATGCACTTGCTACAGAGGGTCAAGGACTGCAGCCTTCAGTATGGACTGAGGCTCAATGTCAAGAAGACAAAGATTCTCACCACTGGACCAACTGGCAGCATGAGGATGGATGGTGAAGAAATTGAGATTGTTCACAGCTTCCTTTTGCTCAGCTCCACAGTCAACACTCTTGGCACCAGCAGCCAGGAAATCAAAAAACATATTGCAATGGGAAAGTATGCTGTTAGGAACCTCTCTAAAGTACTCAAGAGCAACAGTGTGTCTCTGGAAACTAAGGTGCATCTGATACAGGCCATGGTCTTTGCAAGCACTTGTTATGCATCAGAGAGTTGGACAATAACTAGGGAGGATAGAAGGAGAATTGATGCCTTTGAGCTGTGGTGCTGGAGAAGAGTACTGAGGGTACCATGGACTGTCAAGAAAACAGATTCATCCTGGAGAGGGTTAAACCAGGCTACTCCTTGGAGGCAAGGATTCTGGAGCTTCATCTGACATACTTTGGACATGTTGTAATGAGGGACAGGTCCTTGGAGAGGGACATCATGCTTCGTAGGGTGGAGGGACAGCGCAGGAGGGGAAGACCCTCTATGAGGTCGATTGATTCAGTGACTGAGATAATAGGGATGGGTGTGTAAGAGGCAGTGCAACTGGTACAGGATAGAGCAGGGTTTAGGTCTGTTGTACATAGGGTCGCTAAGAATCACAAGCGACTCGACGGCACATAACAACAACATAACAACAAACCAAAATGGGCACAGGATATGAACAGACACTTCAAAGACATTCAGATGGCCAACAAGCACATTAAGAAATGTTCAAAATCCCTAGCTCTAAGAGAGATGCAAATGAAAACAACTATGAGATATCATCTCACCCCAGTAAGAATAGCAAATTTTAACAGAGCAGCAAACATCAAATGCTGGAGAGGTTGTGGAGAAACTGGAACCCTTATTCACTGTTGGTGGAAATGTAAAATGGTGCAACCACTACAGATGGCTGTATGGCACTTTCTCAAAAAGTTGGAAATAGAAGTATCATTTGACCCAGCAATTCCACTACTGAGAATTTACCCTGAAGAAACCATAACTGCATCCAAGCAGATATATGCACACCTATGTTATTGCAGCTTTGTTCACAATAGCAAAGACCTGGAAACAACCCAAGTGCCTATCAACAAACGAATGGGTAGAGCAGCTCTGGTATAGTCACACAAAAGAATACTATGCAGCATTGAAAAACAAGGAACTCATGTAGTATTACACAAAATGGGTGACCCTGGAGGACATTATGCTGAGTAAAATATCTCAGTCACAAAAGGACAAATATTGTATCGGGCCACTGTTGTAAAACAGGCCTGAAATCGGGGTTGAAAGAAGACAGAGGAGGGGAGGAATGATGTATACTGCACTGAAACGGATGAGGGAGAGAACTGTTTAAAAGGGATGTATGATTGGGTATTATTTTCATGACAGGAGTCCAGAATGAAGGCTGCACAGCGGAGTGGACTTGGGGGGAGGGACTGCATAACAATGAAAGAGTTTTTCTTTTACTTTTCAAGGTGAAGAGTGAATTGTGGGGGTAGCAGTGGGCAGGGAAAAAAGTGCAACAATGAATGAATGGAAAGGCTAAGTCTCTGTAAACTTTCATTAAAATTAATTTTTAAAAAAGAGGAACGAACTGGGGAGGAGGGTAGAAAAATAGTGCAACAATGAATGAATGAAAACCCAAAATCTCTGTAAATGTTCATTAAAATTAATAAAATTTAATAATAAAAAAAGGAAAAAATTTAAAAAGAAGAAACCTTAGGAGGCAATGCGTTTATGGAGGGGATGGGAAGCAACAACTTAAAAAACGGGAAGGTGAATATGATTGCACAACTCTAAAAGTGCTATCAAAGTATTATACATGCAGCATCTGTCTGGTGTCGGTTTTACTGTACATAGTCTCACAACAACAAAATAAATTTTTTAAGCCAAACTGCCTCGCTTTACTGCATAACTGCCATCAGAAGTTAGATAAGCAACAAAAGACGTGGTCAAAAAGGACTGAAAGGTTTCTAGCTCAGTATCTCATTCATGCCAATATTGGTGCTTGAAAAAGGCGGCAGGGCCTTCTCAGTAGGGGAAACTGAGGGCTAGGCCCCAGCTCCGCCCCTGAATCTACCCAGTGCGCTCCGAGGAGCCTGAATCCAGCCTATCCCACCCCTGAGGCTGAACCCCAAGGCCTGAAGCGAAGGTATCCAGCCTTCTGTGTCGCTGGCCCCACCCTACCGATCCCCAGCCTCCCGGAGGCGACTCCTACTTGTCTCCAGCGTCTTCAGGAGCCTGAGCTGGCACTTCTGATTGCTATCGAAGAATCCAGAGAGGAACCTTTGCTGGGGCTTCTCTTCCGCCAACTGCTCGGGGAAGACCTCGCACGCAACCTGCTGCTGCTGCAACTGGTCCTCTGCCACCGGGCTACGCCCGCGCTCGTCCGGTGCTTCCGCCATGCTGCCTGCGACCTCTTCACTACCTCCTCCTAGCTTTGGCAGCAGAGAGACCGGGAAAGGGTACTTTCCTCCAGCCTATCTGGCCGCCCAGGCGAATACAGGCTCCGCCTAGAACGTGAGGTGGGAGGAGGGGTGGGCGGGGCCAGAGGAGTGGGCGGGAGGTTTACATCAGTGGGAAGTGCATTGGGCGGGGCCAAGCTCTCTGGGCACTGGGCAGGGCCTGGGAGGTTGCTGGGGAAGGAGCTTGCGTGGGGGTGTTGGGGAGGGCGATCTGTGTGTTCGGGCATGACCAGAACTCGTGGTCGAAGGATCCAGCAAAAGGCGCTTCGTGGGGCCGAGTGAGGATCCCTGCACCTGGCAGGTGGTTGAGCAGGGATTCTGAGCCCTATGCTTGCGGACGCAGGAAGATCTTACCCTAAATGCTTCACTCCCTGGGGTGCTGCAGTCCTCATCGCTGCCCTTTGGGTCTTATAAACATCCATCCTGTTAAATGTCCTCTTGTTAAACTACTAAAGGGTCGCGCCTCCTTTCAGATCCACCTTCCCTACCTACTGGTCTACAAGAACCAGTCTTCCTCTCCCTCTGCAGGACTCTGCCATCTTGCCGTTTTTGTTGCTATGTGCCGTCGAATCCCCTGCGACTCTTAACAACACTGTGTACAACAGCTCTGAAGCCTGCCTTGTCCTAAGCCAGTCTCACTGTCTCCTACCTACCCCTATTGTCCTAGTTACTACTACAGTAAACAATCCAACTCATCCTGAGACTTCCTTTCCTGCGCTGTCCCTCCTCCCTTCCAAGCATCATGCCCTTCTCCAAGGACTGGTCCCTCCTGGCCACATGCCCACGGAACTTCAAAATCCTAGCCTCCAAGCAGAAACTTAGTTTCACCCTCTCCAAGACATACTTACTTGTTTTCCTGGTGGTCCATGTTATGTTCAAGGCTCTTCTCCCTTTTTCCACAGACAGGCCAAGTGCCATTTCTGGACCTGTTCCTGACCACAATCAAGCCTCTGTTCCACTCATACTGAAATCCATGTTATTAAAAAATACCTGAAAGTTACAGTTATTATAAATAAGTTGTTGTTGTTGTTGTTGTTAGGTGCAGTTGAGTCAACTACGACTCATGAACAACAGATCAAACCCCATGCCATCCTCTAAGATTCTAACATGCTCGAGCCCATTGTTCCAGTCACTGTGGCAATCTATTCTTACCGTCTCTGTCTGACCTTTCCCAGCATGAAGCCTTTTTCCAAGGACTGGCCCTTCCTAACAACATGTCCAAATTTTTGCCATTCTTGCCTCTAAGGATACCCTGGCGGCACTTCCTCCAAGACAGATTTTTTGTTCTTATGGCAGTCAGTGGACTATCCAGTATTCTTCTCCAACACTACAATTAAAAAGCATTCATTCTTCTTTAGTCATTCTCATTCTGAAAAGCCAGACTCCATTTTTAAATGTTTTCTTCTTCTTTGCCCCAAGCATCTCAGAGTTGTGCCTTGAACTGCTTCCCAGAACAGTAACTGCTATTATCTATTATGTTTTGCACTCCACATAATTGTTTCAACAGCAAACTGCTTTCCATGTATCTCTGTAACCTTGAAATGTCTCAAAAGCAAAATGCTGTTCCTGTATCTCTGTGCCCCTCAAGTGTTTTTAACAGTAGACTGCTGTAGCTAGTAGCCCTGTTTTCTACAGTAAAAAAAAAGTATTAAAAAGCCTCTTAGCAAGAACCTAGAGAGGAGTCCTGCCTCCTTGCTGGGACTCTTCTGCTGCACAGTTAACAAAGGACTTCAACTGCAATTGTGAGGGTTTTGTCTCTTAATTCGTTGGGCACAACAATTCACTGTCCAACTTTCAGATGTATAGGAAGAAAGTGAAAAAAACATGATTCCGATCAGGTGCACCTTGGTTGTTAAAGTGACATTTTTGCTCTTTAGCACTTTGCAGAGATCCTTGACAGCAGATTTTCCTAATGCAATCACAGTATTTTCATGACTGCCAGCATAGATACTGACTGTAGATCCAAGTAAAACGAAAATTATTGCTGTCAATCTTTTTTTTCTTTTGTCCATCTATCATAATGCTGCCTTTTGAGGGAGGGTAGAATGGTCACATCAAAACAGAAAAAGAAAAGATCCAGCCTGTTTTGTTTTGTTGGCATTTTTTTCCTGCCTCATTTAGAACCATTTCACCCACTTTATGCTATTCTGGTAACTTCAAACAATTCTCTGCTAACAAAACACATCCTGTTTACTTCTACCTCAAAGCTTTAATTCATTACCACCACTTGCCCCTCTATACCTCTTTTTTAGTCAAGGCTATTCTGAACAGAGTCCCAGGTGCTCCTCCAACTATTTTATACTTGCTACATTCCTGTAACAATCTGCCAGGTTGTAACTAACATGTATGTTTCTCCTTTTTTCCACTAAATTATTCCATTCACATGTTAAAAATAATCAAAACACAAATAATTTAAACCATATGGCTTATTTCAAGCACTTAATCAGTAAGCATGCAGAAAGATCATTTTGTTTCTGAAAACATGTGGCTCAAAGTAAACTAGATATAATTGCTAAAAAAATAAACCTCTGAGTTAGCTCAAGAAAATAATACTTTTCTTATTGCTCTATGATTTACAAACAATTTGCATCCTGAGACTACAGTTTTAGACTACACTCAAACCAAAAAATTATCTCACTCCTGCGGCTTTTCAGTCAAACTACATTGTTGTTAGGTACCTTGGACTCCTAGCAACCCTATTATTTATTGTCCAACATTCAAATGCTTAAGAAGCAATCAAAATAACATAGCTTGAGTCGGGCACAACTTAAAATTTGTAGTACTTTAAGGAAACTGATGACAGCAGATTTGTCCAGTGCAAGCAAACCTTTTTTTTTTCCATCCTAAATAGAACTCTGTTGTTGTTGTTGTGTACCCTCGAGTTATAACTGATCTATAGCTGACCCTCTGCTGGATTTTCAGAGGCAGTGAGAACACAGGAGGAGATTTCCCATCCTTCTCCCATGGAGCAGCTAGTGGCTTTGAACCATGGGCCTTTCGGATTACAGCACAACTTCTTGCCA